ACCCTGGTGTTCTCATGTTTCCTTACCTCCTCATCCCTCACTCCCTAGCTGTCCGTGCTGGATCTGTCCCCGTTGTTTTAAAACCTGTCTGGTGTTCATCTAGTGTAGAAGCTTCATGTACTGCTTCCCTTTCCCACTAGTCTGCTGTCTGATTGTGGGGTCAGGCTGATCTGGGATCAGCTCTTTGGCTGCAGAATCTCCGCCAAAGTTCTCCTCTCAAACGGGACTTGGAGGAGTAGTGCTCGCGCTGGCGCTCGCGCTCGCCTGTAGAGACTTCTCCTGAGGAGAACGCGCAGCTAGGGGGGCAAAATCGTTTTGGCCCCATGCTGAATCTATTTGAGGGCGCTGATTGGCTAATTGTATGTCACTCATTTATATCTTTAATCAGCAATTGGCTAAACTGCTTCATAGACCCGCCTCTTTTGGGCCAAAACGATTTGGCCCCCCTAGCTGCGCGTTCTGTGGGTACATCCCAAGTCTCTTAATTGCATCCCCGTTTCCCTCACTTGGGTCCTTTCCTTGCGTCTTAGTCCCTCCCACCAGGGATGCATGGAGGAAACCATGCGAGGAGAGAGGAAACGAGGAAATATGTTTTCAGAGACATGAGACGTCCTTTCCTCAGTTGCGTCACGTGAAGCAACGTCTGTTTCTGATGACGGTGCTGATGATCACAGCTGGATCAGCTGTCAGTCGGCTTTAACAGCTGGAGAGACTTTTGATAAGTTTGTGTCTGTTCACATGATCACTGTACTTAATAACAGTAACTAATAATACTAATAACTAATAAAGACACACAGTAATCACCACTGTAGAGGTGTTTCTCTCTGTAGTCTGTTAACAAACTGTGTCCTGTGTTCTGTTTATAAGCACAGGATCCATTTCTACTGGCGGAATGCGATCGTCTTATTTATGAATTATTTGCATCTGTACATTTTGAAATTCAGATTATGACGTCATTATTAAATAACCCAGAATATGATTATTGTTTCTCTTAAATGATAAAACTCATCAATCCCGACAATCAGGAATGAACAGCCTCACGTGACTGAATGAAATGATGATACATGATGTAAAAAGTGTTTCGTCGCTCTCTCTCTCTCTCTCTATTTATATTCTATTTATATATATATATATAATTTTTTCGTCTCTCTATTTCCCTCTGACTTTAATTGTTTCCATAATAAAAGTTCAGATTATGAAAACACAAATCTTTCTAATAAATGAAGAAAGTTGTTTGTGGTCCTTTTGTTGTTCAGACTACAATGAACATTTATTTAAACCAGATGTTGAATCAGAAAACGAATCAAATATAAACTAGAGTTTAATCTGTGATCTGTCTTCACTGTTTACATGTTCAACAAAATCTCATCAGTCCGATCGGCTGCAGCGTCCAATCACGTGACTGATGAACAATGAGGGGGCGTGTCGGCCGTTAAAAGACTTCCTGTAAGTCTGTTCTCGTGCGTCCTCGCTCATGGCTCCTCAGAGATCCCTCCTCCCTCCTCGATCCTCAGAGCTAAATAAGAGCTTTGGGATGGCCGTCAGTATGGCGGCGCAGAACAACTTCCGGTTCAAGCGAGGATCGAGGAGCGAGGAAATGAGAATTAAGAGACTTGGGATGTACCCTGTGACAGGAGCTGCCATGTTTTCCGGGGGAGTGGCAGTTTATCCAGCTACCTTCAGTTAGCCTGCTCTGGAGCAGGTTCCAGTATATATACTGGAAAGGTTTTAGTTTAGTGTTTTAATCAGTTTTTTATTTTATTTATTTATTGGTTTATTTGAACGGGACAGTGCACATTAATAAAAACATTTCTGCAAATGTGCCAGAGTTAGCCAAATGGCTATTTTTCATCTGTAGTCCCTAAGGCAGATGTTAACAAAATAAACCTAAAAACAATGTAAGATTAAAGTTAAAAGGTTATACAATATTGACACTTAATGCGTAGACAAACAATGAAAAAAAGTGAGAATAACTATGTTAAAATAGAAACATGGACTAAAAACAGTATTATACTGTAGTTATTTAGACACTTTATCATATATTCAATAATTAATTCATAGATCTTTTTCATAATATTGTTTTTCTATATTAATAATCAGTTAATTAAATCAGTTACTAATAACTAATTTTCAATCAGTTATAGTTCTTGTAATTAAATTAATTTATCAATAACTTTATTTCATTTCATTCACACATACATATATATATAGCAATCCTAAAGCAGAGGAAATCAATCAAGACAGTTAACATTAACAGCAGCAAAACAAATGTCAGCAAACGTGTTTATTAACTTGCAGTAACACATGTGCATATGCTTTATATTTTCTCCAAAATTATCCAAATCACATTGAGAAAATGATGAAAAGAGAAACATTTATCAATAATGTTCACACAGGGATGCAAACTTAGAAGATTGACACATTTTACACAGCAGAATATATACATATTCACATAGAAATCATTTACATGGACGTCTTATGTCAATTTGAATAAATAAAATAAAAAGGTGACATCACAACTGTCCTCTCTGTGACAGCAACATGAACACATGAGAAGGATCTACTGGTTGTGTTGTTAGTGAAGGCTTTGTACAGGATGAGAGCTCATGTAACTGTAACCTTCAGTACAGGATGGTCAAATGGAGATATTACAAATGGACTAATGTCTTAATTCAAAGCTACGGCTGCTGAATGTTTGTCCATCGCTCTCCCCTCAGCTCCTGCTCTCTGTAACAAAACAAGAACACAATCAGCAAAATACTCAAATTCAGTGTATTCGTGTAGTTAATCTCAACGTTTGAAACGTTACCGGACTTAAAGTGATATTTCAGGTTCACAACCTGTCTACCTGAGCTCACGTTGGTCCGTTTATGGACATGATATGAAGTATAAATCATCTGGAAAATCATCACAAACTCAGTAAGATATGATTCAACCTCTGAGGTTTGAAAGTGAAGTTATTAAAAGTTACTTTACAAGGTTTACTACGGTCGGATGCAGCCAGCCGAGCTGCCGGTAATAGCGCACTGGCACACAATGCATGTTGGGATATGGTGGGCCGCGAAGGATACATCAGATGTGTCCTCCAAATCTGGGACCAGAAGGCTGCATTCGTCGGCTGCATTGAAGGACTCTTCAACAAAAATGCGAAATGGGACAGCACTAGTCGCAGCGCTGTGACGCAACCGGTCTACGAATGCAGCCTCCGAAGGATGCAGACCCTGAATTGAGACACAGCTACAGACTGGATGCAGCCTTGAGCTGTTCTGCGAGTGGTACATGTTTGTACAGTGTCGGCGATGCGGAGAACATGCATGCCGTGCTGTTGGTAAAGTTTATTAGGCGCTTAATAAACTTATGGATGTGTTCATTACATCACCATGGCACATATTGTACTGACTCAGCATTCTGAGTAATGTGTGTGTGTTAGTGTTTACTTGCTCCCATGTCCTCTTGATGGCTGCGTTGCATACATGAGGGTTAAAGCACTCATAATGATATGACAGTGTTATTAGTACACCAGCATATCATTACTGTAGAACATGATGAAGGTGGACTCATGATAAGAACAGAGAGAATCACACACTATTTATCTTCACTGCTTCAGTTGATTGAATGTCTGATGATGAATAATACACACACACACACTGATCCGCCCACACACAGATTCACACACACAGATTCAAACTGCTAGTTCTATATGGTAATCTACACATACATGTATATACACATATATAGTACATGATACATGAGGGCATACAGTACATATATCCTCATATTAATGAGTATCAGTTAGATACTCTTTGGGCTTGTTTTTATCTTATTCTGAAAGAGTTGAGATCATTATTGTCGCTATAGATCTCATTGGATGATGCATTCATTAAGCCTACTGCCAGCAGCTCATTTAAAGACACATCATCTGATTGATTGGGGTGATGAGGCATTAAAATGAGCCGATACATTTACAACACTTACGCATTTAACTTGTCTGTGATATTTTGCCATGCTTCTTGTCTAGCCCTCGCAGCGGTGGCGCTGTTATATGTTGCCGTGATTATGGTCTTGAATTCCTCATATGCGTTCATGATCATCTCCTGCTCATCAGCGGAGTAAAGAGAGGCTCTTTCTTTGACTTTATTTAACATTGTACTGTTAGAAAATCATGGTTTCGGTGATCAACGCTTCCCCCTTTTGAAGTAGGACGGGCACGCGCAATTATCCTGATTACTGAAGTCTGGTTCGAATTAATGAGACTGTTTGAGAGGATCAGCCTTGGAGAAACCGAGATAGCCTGATTTCAATCATCTCATTAATTTAAGCTGCTAATAGGACATTTGATCGACTTAGTTGAACCACGTACGAGGAACGGGGCCCAGAGGAGGAGGAGGACTCTTGGTGCTCAAACATATTCAGAGTTGATGGACAATGTTTTCCTCATGTTCAATTTTTAATGTGAAGATGTTGAACATATTATCTGCTGTTTACATTCATTATGATGCTAATTTAATACATGTACTACAGGAATGTTCTACTGTGTTTGTTTTGTTTGTCGTGTGTTTGTTGTGTTACAACTGAATTTAGTTATCGTCCTTTGTTTCATAATGACAACAGGCTCGTTGGAGATGAGCTGCTTCTCAGTGGACGAGATCAGGAGGTTATAAATAAACTGAGTTCAAGACAGTTTTCATCTGTCAAAGAATAAACAGGAAGTCAAAGACACGGTTACTTTTCCCATTGGGACGTGTTCAGGTTAGATCTGGGTCCAGCACTGGGCCGGTGGTCTGATCCACACTCCGGAGACGTAGGTGGCGGTAATGCTCAAATCAGCTTCATGTGACAACCAACAGAAAACCAGAAGAAGAAGAGGCGTTGGTGACGTCATTGGACCCTTTCCGCTGCTGCATGTAAACAAAGCAGAATCAGATGGAGACAAACTCCATATAAATATAAATAGATATATAGATATATAGATATAGATAATCTCCGCTAAATAACGAATCACGGGAGAGGGTTCTATTTGATCCGGAGCTGAGAGTCTGAGTGTGATGGAGCTCCGCTTCTCTTGAACCAGAACCAGCAACATGTCTATGGAAGACCCGTTCTTCGTCGTCAAAGGGTCAGTTTACGCTATGCTAACCAATGCAAACAGGCTTAGCGGATGCTGGTGGCTGATTAGCCTGCAGAGACCTGATAGCTAATCGATACATAAAATAAACCAGTCTAACGTTGTGATGTAAAGGCTTACCGCTATGCTAACGTTAGCTTTCAGTGAGTTAGCATGTTACTCTGATGTTAGCACAGTGTTGATTATCAGTTAATTCTCAGTTTAATGTATAAATTTCAATATTTCACATGTTGATTTCAGTAAAATCAACTGTCACATTTCTAGTTATCTTGTCTGTTAATTATATGAATAATATTAAATATGTTAATTATATAAAAATATAAGGAAAGTTATCAGATAATATATTTAATGTATTCTTTATTTTACTTGGTAAATAATTCATATTATCTTAAGTCATTTTATAGACAGGTTAAGCAGTTACACGTGTGTGTGTGTGTATATATATATATATATATATATATATATATATATATATGCGTAACCCTAACCCGTATTACTGTCTCTCTCTCTATTTTCAATTCAATTTTGCGTTATTGGCATGAAAGTTTAAAAACAGTATTGCCAAAGCATCAAAAAAATGTAACATACAATAATATTAATACACAATAACATGAATATACAATAACATTAATATAACATCTAGCTTGATTATTAAATATATATATATATGGGTCATTGACGAATAAGGCTTCTAAAAAGGTAATTTTAAAAATTATCTTAAATGGATGTAATGCATATTTTTGTGTCTGGAAAAATGTATTGAAACAAGTCTAAGTTGTGAACCAACTTTTCATAGTGTTTTAAATAGTTTTTAACAGTATTTTTTAACTTCACAGGCTAAAAAATGTCAGGTGGCGCAACCACATATTTATAAAAAAATATATATTTTCCTAATATTTATTCAAACTGAAATTTTTGACAAGTATCCCTTAGAGTGTCTACTGTATCTAACACATCGTATTTTGTGGTTGTGTTTTATATATATACAATAATTTATCATAATTGCGTTCTCTTGGCAGGTATTTAGTATATTTAACTTTTTTTACATTTAAACAGAGAAACATAATAATACAAATATTCAAATAAAATAGTTCTTCACATCATATCGAGCAAAAGAAAATTCACTTTAACTTATTATTTATTGCTTTAAATTAATATTTTACCTGGTCGCACCACCATGACATTTATCAGTTGTGCCACCTGACAATATTAGTAATCACAGGAAATATGCAGACAATTTGCATTTTTTTTTTCAAATACAACAACATGCTTTTAGTCAACAGACTCTTTTTAAGTAAAAGTAGTAAATATTTCATTGTAATTATGTTTAGCACATAACTGGAATAGGCAAAATCACAGTCGCTTCCGCCTGGGGTGTTGCAGCTTCTACCTCATTGTAGCAGCGTTTTGCACACACTCCATACATGACTTGTTGTCTGCTCCCTGCGTCGTGCTGATTTTGCTTTACTTGACGGTGGCATCCTTAATAGTTAAACAATATTCATTAATATTATGAAAAATAGTTTGAAAGTGTATAATAACATTAACTTAACACTGTTAAACTTTTGAAATTTAAAAAAAAATAATGTTAGAGCTTTAAATATAATATGAACAGTGAACGCAGCACAGAGTCTCATCACAGATGTTCAATAATGTTGGTTTGTTACAGTGAGGTACAGAAGGCAGTGAACGCAGCACAGAGTCTCCATCACAGATGGAGCGAGCTGTTGCAGGAAGGGGGCGGAGCCTCCAAGGAGGAAATGGACTGGACGACCAATGAGCTGAGGAATAGTCTGCGCTCCATCGAGTGGGACCTGGAGGACCTCGACGAGACCATCAATATCCTTGAAACAGAGAGCTCAGTCATGTGAAGTGTGAAACTTTTCAGATAAACATGCTTCTTAACTGTCAGTGAACGCATCGTTGAGTCCAACCCAAAGAAGTTCAACCTGGATGCAGCGGAGCTGTCGAAGAGGAAATCCTTCATCACCAGCACCAGACAGACTGTGAAGGTACGCTTCACTGGAAGTTCAAGCTCACCTGTGTAGTAAGGTGGTTATGAAATGTGCTCAGCTAACCCTAACCTGCAGGTTTGTTAAGCAGACGTCCTCAACCAAAGACATTCTTAGTCAGCTAGTCGACTAACTAAGTAGTTGATGTAATGGACAGATGTGTAAAACACTTTAAATCGTGTGTTTACTGCTCTTAGGTTTCTTGGAAATAACTAATTTAACATGAAAGAAGCCTAAAAAAGGACTAAAGAAATCTTAATTGACGAAAACAAAACGAAGGGGTAGCGCTACAGTCAACATAAAAACTTTGAAGTAGTTACTCTTTATGCTGAGTCACTGTTGGCTGATTTGGTTGGAAACAATGTGGTTGGATGAAGTGTATCTGAAGAATTGATCTGATTGCTTGCTGATAGTCTGTCTCTCTTGAAGGAAATGAAAGAACAAATGTCGAGTCCAACGGCTGCATCAGTGGACAGAAAGAACACACAGGTAACTAAACACACATGAAGTACACAGCCTGACCACAGGTGTGCTGTTTTATGACAACTCAGGCCAGCCAAGTTCCTTTTTTATGTGGGTGCTCAGAGGAGCTGCTTGTCACTAAGATAACAATAGCTCGTCCACTTTAAAGATAATAATAATAATAATAATAATACATTGATTTTCTATAGCGCTTTTCAAGATACCCAAAGACGCTTTACAGGGCAAAGAAACAGAATAAACAAACAACAAAGATCACTCTACCTTAAAGATCAGTCCACCTTAAAGATCAGGCCACCTTAAAGATCAGTCTACCTTAAAGATCAGTCTACCTTAAAGATCAGCCCACTTTAAAGATCAGCCCACCGTAAAGATCAGTCCACATTAAAGATCAGTCCACATTAAAGATCAGTCCACCGTAAGGATCAGTCCACCTTAGAGATCACTCTACCGTAAAGATCAGTCCACCTTAAAGATCAGTCCAACTTCAGCGATGATGACGGAGTGGTAAGAGGTCATGATGACAGTATTGTAGGGTTAAAGTGAAGATATGACGGTATGTTTTGTGTTTTGATATCCAGGCTCTGCTCGCTGATCGTGGTGCTCAGGGTCCGATCTGGCAGCCCGGTCCTGATAAATACGGGCGACTGGACCGCCAACTGCAGAACGCCAACTCTCAGTTCATAGAGGAGCAGCAGGGCCAGCAGCAAGTACAGTAGTATTTATATTATATATATATATATATATATATATATATATATATATATATATATAT